CCGCGGCATTCGCGCGGCCGTCGTCGTCGATAATCTGGAAGTGTAACGTTGCAACGGTTCGCCACGTAGATGCTCCAGACTCGAGCAGAGTCCCGAGCCGTGGAGCCGGCAAACTCTCACGGCCTCTGAACTCGCACTCGTCATAACTGCAAATGGAATGAATACCTGCCTGCTCGCCTATAGTGGTAGCCACGAGTGGCCATTGCCGGTGGATGGTTACTGGCATTTACGGCACTAACCCACTGAATGCAAGCTCTAAGATTGGCTCGAGATATTAAGCGTGCTGTACGTACACGTACATATGAACCACCTACACGCGCGAGCGGACGAGCGACACGCAACGTGCGCGCGTAGACGTTACCACACACGTCACGGCACGCACACGCACGCGGACACACGCGAGAACGTCGAGGTGAGGATATACCTATCTACCTGCGCGTACTACGGTAGGTAGGTAGAACGTAGCCTCCGGAGGCAAGCCGAAGCAACGAATTACGCGATGACCCGGCGACGAAGACAACGGATGCGGCGAACGCGGAGCGGAGGACGGAAAAGGAATATACAGGGTGAGTCACGTTAAGGCCGAATCAGACTAGCAATTGCAGACGCGGATTGGATTGGGATTGGCGGCTGACGACCGTCCTCTAGCCAATGAGAGCAAAGCAGCCAGCGATTTAATCGACTCTCATTGGCTAGAAGACAATGGCCAATTGCCAATCCCAATCCAATCCGCGTCGGCAATTGCTAGTCTGATTCGGCCTTTACGCCGATCGTCTCTCTCGGCTAACTCGCGATATTATCGTGAAACAGAAGTTCCTTCGGCGCAGGCTACGTTTTTTTTTACCTGCGAAACACGGCGATAAAAAATTAACGGGCGAAAAATTCACATTCTTTCCATGTCGTCGTCAAACGTCCGACAATAACTTGCGTGCGCTCGTGTGACTTGTCGCAACGATTATCAAGTCTAAAGATTGAAGAATTACGAACATTTGACAAATACCAATCACGGCCTCGTCGCCGTTTGGCTCACCCTGTATAAATACGTATTCGCGCATACGCGCGATGTGGTAGGCATCGTCGCTCGACGCCGGCGAGGTGCGAAGGTGCGACGAGGTGCGAAGGTGGCATCGGCTCGAGCACCTGCTACCGTCATTATCATCAGGCCGGCACTCCAGAAAACACGGGGAGCAAAGAGACGAGATTCGAGTCTAATTTCTGCCTACGGGCGCAATCCGCTCTCGTTGCCCGCTCGCCGCCGCGCGGTAGAGCCAGGCCAGGTCCGATTTACTTTGCTCCTTGCCCGAGCCGACCATTACCAACGCCGTGGCCGCGACAAAACCGTCCACATGCGATTTGTCCGGGTTGCTTCCGGCGTTTTCTCGATCCGTCGCGCGAGCGCTAATTCCCCACGACAGTTACGCGATTATAGCGGCGAACTAATGAAGCCGGTAACGCTCCGGTGAATCTAATTACGATTTTTCAATACGGTACGCACAATGCCTACCGAAAGGTAGACGTCGTCGCCTTGATTGTTAGAATCAAATCACGGGCTTCACGCGTAGTGGTATAGCGGTAATGGTTGTGTTTATTGACGGCCTAGGGCGAGCCTTCTAACGTCACATGAAAGGCGTATATTAAGCAGCACAATGTGGGATACGAGCTTTGATTAAATAAGCAAGACCGAGACGGCACAAAGGAGTAAAAATGCGAAGGCGTAAATTATGTATCTGAATTATGTACGTAGTTTACACGCGGCAAAATTGACGGGAAAGGCTATTCGATGTTTCCAACAAAAGGGAACGAGTGCCAAACTAACGGATTTACGACCCGTGCGAGAAATATTTTGCACGATACGCGATGTTTGATTGGCAATAGAAATTTCTTGCATCAATTAACTTTGCACAAGTTTGACTTGAGACAGTGCCACTTGAATTGACACAATCATTTCAGAGCAATCGAGCGAAGCGCACACAGCAATTTAATGATTTCTTAATTTTGTTGTTGCAGTTTTCGTTGGAAATGACAGTGGCGTCATATTAAGTTTAAAAACTGTGAAAATAATAAACAAAAATATACGATTTTGCAGTGTATTACCGATTAGTCGCTCTATGTTTTTATTGTGTCATTGTTCCAAGTTTAATCCTGACGTACTATTCTAATTTAAAGGGAGAAACCGTGGCTTGAGAAAAATTTAGATGCAGTGAAAGCAAACACACATGTCGTGACTCATTTATAAATTGCGATAGATAGAAGTCTGGGCGGCATACTTTGCGAATAATATCGTTCGGAGAACGGCTGAAGAATTGCGAGAATTCGAGCGGAACGAGAGGAATTACGATTCAAATACCACACCAGTCGTGGTGAGAGGAAAGAACCGCGTGAACGCCTTCTTTCGCAAAATGAGCAACTTCGGCTCTTGAGGCTGCTCGAGCTATCGTGCGGATCGAATTCGAATTATTCAATGCTTATACCCGAGGCATCAAAATCGAGGGATCGATTCTAATCCGCTGGTTGCTCGGTCGGTTTTTCACAAGCAACGATGTATCTACTAGAATATCCCTGTGCGCACTTCTACATTTGTATGTAAGTCCATTTAGTCATGCACGTGTGCCATTCCCATTCGATAATTCTCATTTTTAATTATATTATAAAAATTGTGATAAAAGTACAATAAAGAAAACCTACACCAGTTGTTATTGAGACCGGAAATTATTCACACGTGAATATTAAATCCAAAATAGATCCGGCTTTTGCTCTTAACACAGAGCGAAGTTGTTATTTATACGGGGAAGTATTCGATAATTCATCTTAATGAAATTATTTATTGCGTCGAACATTTGTTTATGCTACGGGAATAATATTGTAATGCTTGTATTCCTCTGGTATGCATGCACCCGTTTCTCTCCGAAAGTTGTACATTTTAATCTCTCGCAATAGTCAGTAATGTTAAAGACTTGAGCTTCGTTTCGGAAGCACGTCGAATCCGCATTTATTTTAAGATGCTCGGAACAAAGTAGACGATATGCAGACGATTCATAGAAATAACATTTTAATTAGAGCCGACCTATAGATATAAATTATGCGATTCTTTTCGTATATCCGTTTCCCTATCTTAAAATAAAATAAAAATATAATTCGACTCACCAGTGCGACGCGCAGCGGCGGAGTTAAAACGACGTTGACCTGTAAAATGCAAATACAGCCAGATTATTACAAAGTCGTCAGATTTCGAGAAATAATTGCCAAACGAAATAATAGAATATCATCACATTACATTAGATTGCGTGCGATTTCAATATAAATTGCTAAGACTCTTATTAA